AAATAGTGAATCTACCAGTCTTCAGCTGACTGATGCGCTGGCTTCAGGCGCATCACGACGATCAAAGAGGCTCAAGTCTAACACCCTGCAAGAGAAATATAAAGCTGTTCCTTTGGCGGCCACGCTAAGGGCGGGTAGCGATAACGGCCCTTCGGGGCCCGAAGCTGCTTGCCGTCGTGGTCCCGTGTGCTGGCAACACGCGGCGTTTGGCCTGGACAGCGCGTCAAGCTGGGCGCTCCTTCGGGAGTGCTCGGCTTGTCTCTCTTTGACCTCCCTGAGCTGGGCGTCGCGGTCTTCGGACTGCGGCGCTCGGCTCGTCTCCATTTGGCCGAGTCCTTGGCTGGACTTGGTCTCTGGGAGACTCCCATAAAGGCTGGCGCAAGGCTTAGAGCCGAGCGGCGTTCATGGAGCGCTGTCTCGGCTTCCTTGTAGCACTCTGCTCTGTTTTGAGTGCGTGTTGGCCGCAGAGGAGGGGGTCAGAAATAAGTCGATCGAGGATATCACGCTGGCGAGTCGGGTCAAGAGACTTCGTATTTTTTTCCGCGCTTGCGCGGCGCGCCGGAGAAAAAGCGTATATAAGAATATGGGGTGGATCGGTCCGGGGAGAGGCCCGGGGAGGCCTGGGGCATGGGTCTGGGTCGGACCCGGTGGGCCGAGGGCCTGGGCCTGGGTCAGGCTAGGGGCCGGGTCAGAAGGCTTGGCTCGGCTCGGCTTGGCTAGAGGGACGGAGTCCCGAGAGGGTGTGGAGTGCCGCTGGGGCCGAGGAGGCCCGGTGAGGCCAGAGTCCGGAGTGCTCGGTGAGCGGCAGAGTCCCTGGAGAGGGCCGCCCAGAGTGAGGCAGAGTCCGAGATGCTCGGAGGGCGAGAAGACTGGACTTGGAGAGGCAGAGAGGGAGCGGATGGAGCCCGGAGGGCCAGGGAGACGGCAGAGAGCCAGGGGACTCTGTATGCGGCAGAGTGCCTCGATGGGCGGAGCGCCGAGAGAGCTCTGCTCGCCCCGCTCTGGCCCAGAGTCCGGAGCACTCGGAATGAGAGCAGAGTCCCGTGGGCCAGCCCCGACCTTCGCCCAAGTCCGCTGCGGCCCGCTCGTTCCACCCCAAGGCCCGCGGAGCCCCGCTTGTGGCCCAAGTCCCGTATGGACCGCTAATTTCGCTCCCGCCCCGGGTCGATTCTCGCTCTCCGGCCCGCGGTATCGGAGCTGCAGGGCGTACCGCTCGTGCTAGAGAGTCGTCCTATGGCTCAAACGAAAGCCCTGTCCTTCCTCTAGGTGGCACGCTTTGAATGGGGTCGATCGGTCGAGCCGTCTGGGCTGGAGGGCCGTCCGAGTGCGGCGAGACGGCTTTCCTCGAGCGATCTTAAGCACAAGTTTGGACGGTCCGTGAGGGCACGTTTATGAACCGATCCGAGCCGTTCAACTTTCACAGCCTTCGTCCTCTCTTACGCTATCGCCTCGTGACTCGGTCAGTCGCCTGGCTATCACGGTTCGGCCGCGAGGCCGCTCGGCGTAAAGGTCTGCAAGGGGCCGAGCCCAATTTTCAAAATCCGAACGGAGCGTCCTAGAGAGCTCCGCGAGGCACCGAACGCTTCGTCTCGACGTGCGGAAGCGCCTCGAATTTGTCTCACCGCGATCGGTCGAGCCGTTCTCGAGATATAGCCGAAAGAAGAAATCGGGAATGTAGGCAACACGTGGTGCACTTGTGACCGACGGGTTGCCTATGCGGCGTCTTGCAGGCGCTGTCGGAAAGGGACCTTTTTCAAACGCGTTTTTGAGACTGAAGGAGTGCGGGTGGAGAGTGTCCGAGGACGGCATCGCGTAGGGCAAGGTTCGAACCGGACGCATGCCAAGTTTGAACCCTTTCGGACGACCGCAAGGGGGCCGCTCGGACGGCCGAAGATGGACTATTTCAAAAAGCTTCTATCACGTCTCTAGACCGTTCCGAGCGAGATAATCCACCCCCGTTTGAACGAGAGGCAAGTTTGAAGACCCCTTTACGACATGCAGTCGATGGACTGGATACATACATCAGTTAGACCCTGTTTCGGGCCGATCCAAAGTTCGAGACTTCCGTTTTCGACCCGTTTTTGGACCTTCGAACGGCCCCCGTGTTCAAAGTATTCGAGCCAGAGGTCTCGTTCATAGCTTAAAAGAAAGCCCTTTAATAGGTCTAGAAGAGTGCCGAATGGCAGAGACGTCGTTTGAGAGATGGGGATAGAAAAAGCGGTTATTCGTCAATTTGGTCGGTTTGGTGCAAAGTTCCGAATTTCGACCTTCAAACGGTCATTCACTGGTCGAGAATCGAGCTGTGTAGTTCCCGGACATGGCAAACGACAGATAATAGACGGCTCTAGAGGGCTGCGTCGGCAGAAGTTCCCTTTCGTTAACGGGAAGCCGTCAGCGGCCGCCGGATCGCGATATTTACAGTGTGGAAAAAGGGTGACATTTCCCGATTCGGTCGACAAAAACGGTCCCATGACGGAGCGAGACGGTGTGGACGGGCCCGGTTTGCGCTGGAGTGTAGTTCAAACTGTGCCTAGAGCATTAGAAAGGGAACGGACCGCTAGAAAGAATCTCGTCCAGTGGAGGGGTCTTGGACGCGAAACTCATATTAAGCAAAAAGTGCGAATTTTGCCCGTTTTCGCTCCTTCAACCGTCTGTCCCGAACGACGTATGAGAGCTAGAGATCTCGTCTATGGCTTCAATGAAAGCTCTTGAAACGCACTAAATGTGGTATCAAAATCACGGTGCTCAAACAGGAGCTGTGTGAGGGAGAGGCTGGACATGCCCATTTGGACCATTTGGTACAAAGTTCCGAATTTCGACCTTCAAACGGTCATTCACTGGTCGAGAATCAAGCTAGAAAGCCCACCGAGGTGTCAAAACGAAGGTATTGAATGCTTCTAGAGGCGTGTTTGGTCAGATGTTCTATTAAATTTGAAGGAGGGGCAGTCAGCAGCCGAATCATCTCGAAATTTAAGCAGGGAAAAATGTTCAAGTTCCCCGATTGGACCGACAAAATCGGTCTCATGACAAGACGGATTGACTTAAGCGGGTGCGGTTTGCACTAAGTTGTACCTGAGACTTTTCTCTAGGAGTTCTAAAAATATAAGACAGTTTGGGAGAACCTCGTCCAGTGAACAGGCCGAGAGCGGAAAGCCCACATTAAGAAATATCGCGAAACTTGGCCGCTTTTGGATCTTCAACAGCCCGTCACGTACGAAGTATGAGAGCTAGAGATCTCGTCTATGGCTTCAATTAAAGGTCTTATATCGCACTAAAGGACATATAAATTTGAACGGGCTCCAATCAAAGCTCTGCGAGGGAGATGCTTGAAATGTCCAATTTGGTCGATTTGGTACAAAGTTCCGAATTTCGACCTTCAAACTGTCATTCACTGGTCGAGAGTCAAGCTAGAAAGCCCACCGAGGTGTCAAAACAAAGGTATTGAGTGCTTCTAGAGACGTGTTTTGTCAGATGTTCCATTAAATTTGAAGGAGGCAGTCAGCAGCCGAATCATCACGAAATTTTAAGCAGGGAAAAATGGTGACATTCCCCGATCGGACCGACAAAATCGGTCTCATGACGAGACGGATTGACTTAGACGGGAACGGTTTGAACTGGGTGTACCTGAGACTTTCTCTAGGAGTCCTGAATATAAGACAGTTTGGAAGAACCTCGTCCAGTGAACAGGCCGAGCGGGAAGCCCACATTAGGAAATATCGCGAAACTTGGCCGTTTTTGGACCTTCAACAACCCGTCCCGTACGATGTATGACAGCTAGAGATCTCGTCTATGGCTTCAATTCAAGGTCTTAAACCGCACTAAAGGAGATATAAATTTGAACGGGCTCCAATGAGAGCTGTGCGAGGGAGATGCTTGAAATGTCCAATTTCATCGATTTGGTGCAAAGTTCCGAAATTCGACCTTCAAACGGTCATTCACTGGTCGAGAATCAAGCTAGAAAGCCCACCGACGTCTCAAAACGAAGGTAATGAATGCTTCTAGAGGCTGGTTTTGTCCAAAGTACTAGGAAACTTGAAGGAGCGAGTCAGCAGCCGGATCCTCTCGAAAATTTCAGTGGTGCAAAATGGTGACATTCCCCGATCGGACTGAGAAAAACGATCTCACGACGAAACAGATTGACGTGGACGGGTGCGGCTTGCATTTAATTGTAGATTTAACTTGTCTCTAAGTGTCCGAGAGAAATGAAACAGTTCGGAAGAATCTCGTCCAGTAGACAGGCCGAGAGCGGGAAGCTCACATTTGGCAAAAGCGCGAAATTTGGCCATTTTCAGACCTTCAACAGACCGTCCCGTACGAAGTATGACAGCTAGAGATCTCTTCTATGGCTTAAATGAAAGCTCTTGAAACGCACTAAAGGTGATATTAAAATGAACGTGCTCCAACGAGAGCTGTGAGTGGGAGATTGAATGGTTGCCCAATTTGGTCGATTTGGTACAAAGTTCCGCATTTCGACCTTCAAATGGGCATTCACTGGTCGAGAATCGAGCTAGAATGCCCCGTGACGTTTTAAAATGAAGGTCATGAATGCGTCTAGACGCCTGTAAATAAATATATCGCGTTCTGTGACAGACAGCAGTCAAAAGTTGAATGAAGGCAAAATTTTACAGTGTTGAAAAAATGGGGTGTTTCCCGATTTGATCGGGAAAAAGGGCGTTATAACGCAACGAAGTGACTTGGATAGGCCTGGTTTGCATTGAATCGTAGTTCAGACTTGTATCTAGAGCGGCGACCAAAGAACAGACTGCTGCAAAGAGTCTCGTCCAGTGGAAAGGCATTCGACGCGATAATCATATTGAGCAAAAGTGTTGATTTTGGCCGTTTTCAGACCTTCAACAGACCATTTCGTACGAAGTATGACAGCTAGAGATCTCATCTATGGCTCAAATGAAAGCTCTTTAAGCGCACTACAGGTGGTATTAAAATCACGGAGTTCCAACGAGAGCTGTGAGCGGGAGAGGCCGGCGATGTCCAATTTGGTC